ATCGATGGTTCTTTGCACTTCACCATCAGGTCGTCTCCCAGGGCACACGCTCACCCAGCGCCCGGGGCACCGTGGGGTTTCCTGGTAGGGCTGGTGCAGGATGACAGCTGTTGGCCGACAGTGTCCACCGTGGACACACACTTCCCCTCCCTGGGGTCTCGGGCTAAGGATGTCTCTCACTGTACAAGAGACCACCACGTCCGGTTCCCAGAGGCAGCGCAGGCGGCTGCTTTAGCGTCGGGGCCTCTCAACACTTGTCCGTGACCCAGCAGCGGGGCCGGTGTTCCACTGCAGGTTTTTTTTTTTTTTTTTTTTTGACAGGCAGAGTGGACAGTGAGAGAGAGAGAGAGACAGAGAGAAAGGTCTTCCTTTGCCGTTGGTTCACCCTCCAATGGCTGCAACGGCCAGCGCACCGCGCTGATCCGATGGCAGGAGCCAGGTGCTTCTCCTGGTCTCCCATGGGGTGCAGGGCCCAAGCACCTGGGCCATCCTCCACTGCACTCCCTGGCCACAGCAGAGAGCTGGCCTGGAAGAGGGGCAACCGGGACAGAATCCGGCGCCCCGACCGGGACTAGAACCCGGTGTGCCGGCGCTGCTAGGTGGAGGATTAGCCTAGTGAGCCGCGGCGCTGGCCTCCACTGTGGTTTTATTTCCATTCCCTGGGCCGCTGTGAGCTCAGCCCTGCTGCCTGTGCCTGCTGGGCGCTCGCGGAGCCTCTGGGGTGCTGTCGACGCCTGTCCGCTTTGCACAGGTGCTTGGTCTTCTCAGCGTCACCTGTTTTGTGAGCAGGCCTTGGTCAGAGCCAGGCACTCACACGGTCCCCCGCGGGCGTGCGGTCCACGCGTGGTCTCACTGATGTTTTCCACAGCTTCTCCTCCAGCCCAGCTTCCCGGAGCCTCACTGCAGGCGACGGGCAGCCGCCTTGTGTGGTCCACAAAGGCCTCACTGCCTTTCTCACAGCTTTAATGGGTCCTTTAGCAAGCTAGCTTTGTAAGATTTATTTGAGAGGCAGAATGACAGAGAGACGGAGAGAGAGGGAGAGAGAGGTCTTCCATCGGCTGGTGCCCTCCCCAGATGGCCTAACAGCCAAGGCCGGGCCGATCCGAAGGCAGGAGCCAGGAGCTTCTTCTGGACTCTCCCACGTGGGTGCAGGGGCCCAGAGGACTTGGGCCGTCCTCCTCTGCTGTCCCAGGTGCACTAGCAGGGAGCTGGATCACAAGTGGAGCAGCTGGGACGTGAGCCGGCACCCATATGGGACGCCGGTGCCACAAGTGGACGCTTACCCTGCTACGGCACCGCGCCGGCCCCAACGAGCTGTCTTTGAAAGCACTTGGAGAGGGGAACAAAAGTGGCCGCAAAGGGGGCCTCTGGGCCAGGCCGCAGCAGGGCTCCCGTTGCTGCTGCTGATCACGGTCCTGACCGAAGCTCAGGCTCCGCCTTGGCCGAAGCGCTGGGCTCGGGCTCGGGCCACACGGCGTCTTGGCGCGGGGCCTGGCAGCCGACCTGCGCACTGCACAGCTTCCCCGAGGGAGAGGAGCTGCGTGCGCGGCAGAGAGGAGGCGGCTGTTTCCGATTTTCCAGCTCATGGACGATGGGACTGATTCAAACCGGGACCAGATCGGACAGCGAATCCGCCGATTCCCTGTCTGACGAACACTATGCTTGCCGTCCTGGTCACCAGACCAGCCGCCGCCTGCCGAACCCAGATGAGAACAACTCACATCCCCGACGTCAGAGACGCATCTACCGTCCCCCAGCCCTGCTGGAGGAGGCGACGGAGCCCTGCACCCAGCTCCGTCGGAAACTGGTGAGAGTCCAGTCTAAGCCAGAACGGAGTGTGCAGCCCTGTGGGGGCAGGACCCCCGGAGCTGGGAGGGTCCCACCTGCTGATGAGAAGCTAGGAGCACCCAGAAACCGTCTTGAGGGTGGAGGACGCGAGGCTTCCTGGAGGTGTCTCTCAACTCCGGCGATCGTAACCGCGCCGCCGGTCCCCTGGGCGACGGGGCCGCCCTGCACCTGCCGTGCGGCCGTGGCTACGGCTGTGGAGTAGCTGAGAGTGTACCGGGACGTGGAATCTGTGGGTGACCATCCAGGCTCCTGAGGCCTCAGACTGGAGCTCAGGGAGAAGCGGGGCCTCTCCCTGCCTCCGGGAATCCCCGCTCCTTCACAAGTCCAAGCTTGGAGAGCGACAACAGACGTCTCAGTTTCCACTCCTCACAGCTCCTCACTCCTTCCCCCCCTGCCTGTGGCCCAAGGAACCCCTGCAGGCCGGGGCTGGGTGGGCAGCTCCAGTCCCGGGGCGCTGAGTGACGAGGGCCACCTGCTGTGAGTCTCGCTGGAGTCAGGCCTTAAGGAATCAACATACAATGCAAACAAAATCACCCAACTCCACGAAGACTGTATTTGCTGTAACTTCAGCCGTATTTTAAAAAATGGACGCTTGGGTTATGTTTTTGTCTTACTATCTGTAGCTACTTTAATTGGTACCGGCACGGGGTTTTGTTCTCTTAATCAAATCTTAGGCGCTGATCACTGCTGCTCCCTACCTCCCAGCGTGGTGCTGCCCGTGTCACCCACCTCCCAGGGCTGAACAATCAGCAGGATTCAACGATTCTGCTCAGAACCCGCCCTCGAACCTGTGCTTCGAGGTTTAGCAGGAAACACTGAATTCCACCTGCCGGTTCACTCCCCGGACGGCAACAACACCGGGACCGGGCCAGGTCGGAGCCAGGAGCCAGGAGCTCCGTCCTCGTCCCGCGAGGGACACCTTCCCCTGCCCTCCCCGGTGTGGGCCGGGAGCTGGAGCAGAAGCAGAGCAGCCGGCACGCAAACCAGCGTGCGACACGGGCGGCCGGCGTCGCGGGTGGCGGCCTCGGGGCTGCACCACCAGCCCGGCCCCGGTTTTCAGCAGTGCGATGAGACAGGCTCTGTGCACTCATCCTGCCGCGCTTCTGCGCGACCCGCGGGGTCCCAGCGTCCTTGCCACCGCGGAATCGTCGGCCACCGTTTCAGCCCCTCCCCTCACTGCACCAAGAGACAGATGTTTCCGAGTTCTGTCCTCTGCCCTCCCCCCGCCCACCCCCCACCGGGACTGAATGGTTTCTGCGCTGTGTCTCCCAGTCCACCGGTCCTCTCCGACGCCGATCACTGCTAACGCCTCGCGGGGAAGTTCTGCGTGAAGGAATCCCATTCCTCATTGCTAGACGCTCCTGCCAGTTCCGACTCCCTGCTCAGAGGCGTGTTCTCCTCTAAACCCGTGAGCCAGCCACCGGCAGCCACGGCGAAGCCGTCTGCTCCTCCCCACGGCCGTGGTTTCTGGGCCTGCCTCTCAGGACTGAGTTTTCCAGTCTCTCCTCTGACCGGCACTGTTGGCTCTTGTTTGTCGCTGACATTTTGTGCAGGGTGAGAGCCAGACAGCTTCTCCTTCCCGTGCAGGGTGCCGGATGCTGGCTCCGGGAGGAGCCGGGGTCCGTGCCAGGGCCTCGCTCCAGGGCTGCGTCCATCCTACGAAGGCAGCAGGGCCCTCTGAGGCCCCCCGGACTCCCCAGCAGGCTCTAGGCTGTGCACTGAGGAATCTTCTCTCTGCTTGGGGCTCCAGTGGTTCCCATCAACCGTGGCTGCAGCCGGTGGGAGTCCCCCGGCCTGTGTGGCTCTGTCCGTGGCCCAGGACTCAGTGGCACCCCCACAAGTCTCCGAGGCCTGAGCTCTGTCCAGCTCGGTCCCCTCTATGCTCTGCCCCACGTGGCCCAGCCCCCGTCTTTCCATCCACGGACTCCCACCCCAGGGAAACAAGCACTCTGTTGGGGTCCCCCCCCTGCCTGTGGCCCAAGGAACCCCTGCAGGCCAGGCCGGGTGGGCAGCTCCAGTCCCGGGCGCTGAGTGACGAGGGCCACCTGCTGTTGTTTTTAAAAACAGTCATCCAGGGTGATCCTCCAGGCAACCGCTGATTGCGTCCGCCCACGACATCACGCACCCCAGGGCCCTGGGGAGCCGCGGCCAGGTCACACGGCCGGACATGCACAGGCCCTCAGACGCCGCGGCCTGTGCCGGAAGCTTCCATCTATCTTGGGCACGGCTGTCACCCCAGAGGAGAGCTTTGGAAACAACACGCAGGGAGGCCCAGTGACCTGGGTGTGGTGAGGCGGGGCGATCAGGAGGGAAATGAGCCTTGTTTACAGCTCTGTGTGTTCTAGAACATTCCCACGGGGCAAAAGTGCTGGCGGGTGGGGGAGGGAGGGCCCCTGGGAACGCCAGCTGGGGCAGGCGAGCTCGGGCGTGTGTGGCCTTGCTGTCGAGGTCGGCACTGGTCTCCGCAGCGGTCACACGTGCTGTGGCCACACGCGGGGACCAGACCAGTGTCAGACCCTGCCCCGCCCACAGGGGACTGCCTGCCACTCAGTGACAGGCTCACAGGGCTCCACACGGTACAACACAGAGCAACCAGGATGCAGCGGGGACCGCGGGGAGGACCGGGGAGGCTCGCCCCGGAGTGGCCCCTTGGCAGCGAGGTCTGAGGCCTGAGGGAGCCTGAGGCATCCCAGCAGACGCCCACGCAGAGGGGACTCGGCAGGACGTGGGTGGGCAAGGAGGGTCCCGTGGACAGAGGGCGCAGCCACGTGAGAGCAGGACACGTGAGGACGAGACCAGCCGGGGGACGGCGGGGGCTCCTCCCTGGCCCGGGAGGTCCCTGAGTAGCAAAGACCACAGAGAAAGCACTGGAGTGTAGGGTGGGGCTGGATCAGGGCGGCTCAGGGCAGGGGGCCCGGACGAGAGGATTCCTGGGTGTGCAGAGGGGAGCAGAGGAGACAGGCGGGGTGAGGGACTCAGGAGCGGGCGACACAGATGGAGCAGGCTGAGCTCGGCGCCCGCCCGTGCCCAGAGCCAGCTCTGCCCCCGACCTGGTGTCTCCGGGCTGGTGTGTGAAGGTGCGGCCTGGGCTCAGGCGTGGGGGTCAGGGGAGGGGAGGGCGGCACGCTGGGCCAGCCGGGGCTGCCACTCACCGGCAGACGGCACAGACGAAGCAGTCGGGGTGGTAGGTCCTGCCCAGCGCCGACACCACCTCGCCCTCGATGAACTGGTCGCAGCAGAAGCAGCGGGTGCCGTACAGGCGCTGGTAGTCCAGCGTGCAGATGTACTCGCCCTGGCGCACGAAAGAAGCCACCCTCGGCCAGGTCACAGCCGCACGCTGAGGACGGGAGGTGGGGCTGGCGTCAGCCAAGGAGCGGCCCTGGGGCCTGTCCCAGGTGGTCGCTGTACCTGGGGGACCTGCAGTGGAGCTGGGCGTGGGAGGTGGGCCGCGTCCGGCAGAGGTAGCACAGGTCAGCGTATGAGCACCTTGGCGCCAGGCCCTGCTCCAGGGGGCTGGCGACTCCAGCGGACAGTCAGGTGCTCCAGGGGTCGGCGCCCCGGGTCTGCACAGGGGGACACCCTCCCTATCCTGGGGGACTCCACGACCCCCACAGTGGGACCCTGCCAGGCCCCTGCAGGAGGACAAACCACGGGGATGCACTTGGGCGTCATTTCATCCCCCCGCCCCCGCCCTGCCCCACACCACCGGTTCTGGACACGGTAGGAGCCCTGTGGCAGGGCCGAGGGGACTCTCCCAGGTGGGGAGCAGCCAGGTCCCCACTCCGAGGACTGGGTCAGCCCTGGGACACACACTCTCCCCTCCCACGTGTTCACCTCCAGCCCAGGGCACTCGGGAGCCACGCCCGGATTCAGAGGGAGCAGCCCCTCTCTGCTGGAGCCCGAGGAAGCCCCAGCTGCCCACCCGGTCAGTCCCAGGGCCTGGTGGGCTGGCCAGGCTCCGTGGTCCCCACGCCAGAGGTTTCAAGTTGACGCCGGAAGCTCCCATGGCAGGGCTCACTGTCTGCTAAGGAAGCCATCTCCGGTTCATTGTAAACGCGGGCAAAGCGCCCGGGGCATCTCCGGGCTGGGCACACATAGCCGAATGCCAATGCCAGGGCAATGCCTCCCTCAGCCCTCAGCGAAGCCCAGGCCCAGGCTCCTGGTCACAGCCCAGCCTGTGGCCCCAGGGCAGCTCCATGGCCTGCAGCACTCCAAGGCCACGTCCGCTCACAGGGAGCCCCCCACACAGCTGAGACCCAGACCAGAGCAGCCCAGAGCCCTGCGCTGGAGTCACCCTGTCTGCAGTCCCCGATCCACCTGCAGGTGGCGCTGTGCCTCGCCCCCAGCCAAATTCCCTCCCTCTCTCCTGGAGCTGTCCTGAGAATGCTGGGGTCACCGGCCTCCGCCCACTAAAGTGGACGGTCCGAGTCGCCAGGAGCCCTAGAAGTCCGCTACGTGTACGCGTCCACTCAGGGAGAAGGGGCAGGGCCGGCCACCCGGGAAGCGCTCTCCGGGAGACCGGAGGGGTGGCCCAGTGAGCCCGGGTTGCAGCCAGGAAGCCCGGGTTCCTTGGCCCAGACGACACCTGCTCTCTCCAGGTCACACGAGGTCGTGGCCTCGGCGCTTAGCCGGCTGTGCGACTTGGGGCGAGCCACCTAACCCTCCCGAACCTGCGTGTTCCGGCTGCAGCATTAATGCGACCTCGTGAGGGGAGGAGCGGGGCAGGGGCATGGAGCGAGCGGGTGGGGGTACCAGAGCACAGCCAGACGGCCAGGTGCGTGCGCAGCGGTTACGGCACACCTTGGGGCTCTCGCACCCCATCCTGGAGAGCCTGGGTCCCGCCCCAACCCCGCTCCCAAGTCCAGCTCCCTGCTAACGTGCACCCTGGAGGCAGCAGGGCACGGCCCAAGGGCTTGAGTCCCGATGGAGCTCCAAGGTGGCCCTGCCCACGTGGGGAGCGAACCAGTGAACCGAAGAGCAGCACCGACCGGGCTCGGGGAGGGAGGGCTTGCTGGGGCGGGGCGGCCCGTGCAGGTCCTGGCGCTCCCGGTGGGCACGGGGCCAGGAGAACCCAGCAGGTGACACCCAGGGCCCTCTCCCGCCCTCTGCTGCTCCCTGGGGAGCTGGGGCAGGGCTGCCAACCAACATAAACCATAAGGCCACGGGGCCAGCGTCTGGCACAGCCGTGCAGACCCTGCCTGGGACACCCGCACCCCATATCAGGCCTGGGCTTAGGTCCCGGCTCCACCTCCCGTCCAGCTTCCCACTGATAAAGGCCAGGAGGCACTGGACGCTGGCCCGAGTGCTCGGGCCCCCGCCACCCGCCTGGGAGACCCGGATGGAGCTCCTGGCCTCACCCCAGCTGCTACAGGCCTCTGGGCAGTGAATGAGCACTGGAAGCTCCGTCCGTCTGTCTCTCTGCCTTTCAAATAGAAATAAATAAATTTTAAGAACCATAAAGCCAGAGAACTCCAGAGGCACCTGTGAGCTCTCCCTGGGGCGGCTCTGAGGACAGCCGGCCGCTGCCTCTGTCCCCCCGGTCCCGAGACGGCTCCCTAACTATGGCTGTCCACAGCACTCCCCGTGGGACGTGCCACTCCAGTGCCTGGGGGCGGGGCTGTGCAGAGTGTGTGTGCCCTGGGCAGGGGTGAGGCCACCCTTGGGACATGGGCCTTGGTTCTGGGAGGCCTGGCCAGGCCCCGTGGATGGCCAGGAACGTCCTGTTCTGCGCCAACCCCGGCCCCCAGGCAGCTGCGGCCGTCACCAGGCTACGCACACACACACAGCCCCTCCCGGACACGCGCGCCGCCCCCGCCTGTCCCCTTGGCACTGCCCCACATCCTGCACCTGCTCGGCTCTGCCGCTGACCGCAGCACAGGACACCAGTGCCGTGTGTCCAGGGTGTCACGAGTGAGGCCACTACCTGACCACGGCTGACATCAGCACAGACCTTGAGCTGCTTCCAGAAGCGGCAACAGTGCTGAGCGTGGGAAAGGACCCACTGCGTGCCACGCGTGGACACACTGCGCGCCGGCACTCCGAGCCAGCTGGGCTTCCAACAGCCCCAGCCCCAGACCAGACGGCCCCTCTGCTCGACCTGGCCACCCTCCTCCTGCCGGCCTGCAGAGCCCACGACTTCCCCTCGCCTGCCACAGGGACGCCCAGGAGCCACAGGAACACAGGGCAGCTGGGCCCCCCGGAGCTGCCCGAGCATCACCGCCAAGGCTCTCAGCAGGGACCCCGGGGCCACGCCCTCCTCCGCAGCCAGCCCGGCTCAGCCGGAGGCACCACGGGCTCAGCCTGCTCAGCCTGACCCCGCGATTCCCGGGCCCTCGGACGACATCAGCTCGGAGAATTCACCACGCTGGGCCCTCGTACATCACTGCTGACCCTGTGTGATGACATCACTGCTGACCGTGTGTGATGACATCACTGCTGACTGTGTGTGATGACATCACTGCTGACTCTGTGTGATGACATCACTGCTGACTTGTGTGATGACATCACTGCTGACTCTGTGTGTGTGATGACATCACTGCTGACCCTGTGTGTGTGATGACGTCACTGCTGACTGTGTGTGATGACATCACTGCTGACTTGTGTGATGACATCACTGCTGACCGTGTGTGTGTGATGACGTCACTGCTGACCGTGTGTGTGATGACATCACTGCTGACTGTGTGTGATGACATCACTGCTGTGTGTGTGATGACGTCACTGCTGTGTGTGATGACGTCACTGCTGACTGTGTGTGATGACATCACTGCTGACAGTGTGTGATGACATCACTGCTGACCCAGACGCCTGCCACTGCTGCTTCCGTCACCAGTGCACCTGGGGCAGCCGCCGCTGACGGCCTGAGTGTCCTGAGCCGGGCAGCCACCGTCCGGGCTGTCACCACACACCCCGCCGCTAGTGGCCAGGCCACGCTGGCTCCCACGCCTGCTGGAGGGGCCGGGGAAGCGGGGGAGCGGCCCCGCCCCCTGAGCCCACGTGGCCCAGGCCCCGTGCCCGTCCCACTCGGCTGTGCACTGCGCTTAGGGAACATTCTGCTAAGGAAGCCATGCTCCTGCCCCCGTGTGTCAAACAAGCTCCAACATGGCGCCAGTGCGCGGGCGTTGCTGTCCAGAAACACCACAAATGTCTTTACGGGGACTGGAAATTAACCTGGGGAAACCCCACAGTGCCCCGGAAAGCCCTCGTGGGTCGGGGAACGGCCCAGACGCAGGGCGGGGCCGCTGTGGGGGCAGGGCCCTTCCCCACCCAGCAAGGGTCTCCCTGGCCCCCACGGGGACAGGACAAGGCTGGCCTGGGCCGGCCACTCCCCCAGCACAGAGGACAAACCCCGCAGGGGGCATGGGCAGTGGGGTGAGGCCGCTGTGGGCCACCCTGAAACCTGGGCCTGCCCGTGTCCTCACTGGGACGTGAACCTCTGGCCGCCTGTGCCACCGGCCAGGGACGCCCAGGAAGACGGGGCCTGCAGAGGACATCACAGGGCTGAGCCAGGCCGGAGCGGGGGGGACCCTGGTGACGCCGGGGATCCAGGGACCCTCAGGGAGGTCCCTGAGGGCCGCCAACGCTTGTGCACAGCACCCGGGGTGGGACCTGGGCGCCCCTGCCCCCTGCCCGTGTCCTCGCACGGGGGCGGGCTCAGGCCTGCTCAGGCTTCCCTCCTGTCCTCTCTCTGCTGTGGCTTCCAGGGCCAAGGTGGACATGTTTGCTGGAACCCACGGCAGCGTCCCTGTGCCGCTCTGGAGGGCGGGCAGGGGCCCGTGTCGGGGGCCCGGGAGGCCCCGGGTGCCCACCGCTGGGCTCGCGCGGGGGCCTCTGGCTGCGGGCCGGGTGCTCGCTTTGCTCCGCCACAGGGCAGGATTCTCCACACAGGGCCCAGCCTGGAGGACCCCGCGAGAGGCCTGGCCCCTGCCCCTCCCCCCTCCGCCCCAGCCTGGCCAGGGGACGCTGCTGGAGGGGCGGCTGGGTCTCCCTCCCTCCCCCCTTCCCTCCTCCGGCGGGCACTCACCCTTGCAGACGAAGCACTTGATGTGGAAGTACCTGTTCTGTACCCGCAGCACCTCACCCCTGCACACATTCCCACACGTGTTGCACAGGATCGCCGTGCTGGCCGGCTTCTCCGGGGCGCTGTGCGCAGCCGGGGGCTGGGACACTGCGAGAGAGAAGGGGCCAGGTCAGAGGGCAGAGGCAGACACGCGACTGGGCACAGGGCAACCCGGGGCCGTGTCAGAGGGCGGAGGCACAGGGCAACCCGGGGCTGTGTCAGAGGGCGGAGGCACAGGGCAACTCAGGGCCCTGTCAGAGGATGGAGGTACAGGGCAACCCGGGGCCATGTCAGAGGGCAGAGGCACAAGGCAATCCAGGGCCGTGTCAGAGGGCAGAGGCAGAGGTGCCAGAAATGGCAACTCAGGGCCATGTCAGAGGATGGAGGAACAGGGCAACCTAGGGCCATGTCAGAGGGCAGAGGCACCCGGCACAGGGCAGCTTGAGACCCGCCCCCACCACCCCTGCAAATCCGACACCAGGGGTCAGACTCGGCTCTCCCTTTGCCTGGGGACCAACAGGACTCAGGACACGTGGCAGGCGGCCACCACCTGTGAGCCCAAGGTGGGGCCCCCATTTTCACAGCCACGTCCCAGGCGCAGTCGGCCCCCGTGTGGCACACCTGGCGTGGGGAGGCCGACCAAGCCCTTGACCCCACCCAGCTCCTCCCAGGGTCTCGAGGGCCAGTCCCCCGGTGAGCTGGGCAGCCCAGGGCTGAGACCCCCACCCCAGCAGGGACAACAGGGACTGGAGTGGCAGGGGCCGTCCTGGCCACAGAGGGGTCTGAGCAGGAAGCAGGAGCCACGGGGCTCTGGGGGCTGCAGCGGGGCCTGCAGAGGCCTCCCCAGGAAAGTCCGCGTGCTTGGTGATACCCAGAGTCCCAGCTGGCAAGAGTGGGGCCACGGAGGAGCCATGGGTGCTGGAGCTCGGGGCCGGCACAGGCGCTCGCGGGAGGCTCCGGCAGCTGGTGGCCCCCAGGCCGCACGTTCTGACCTCCAGCGCCTCCGCTGAGGCCAGAGGGAGACTCGCCCGGGGCGGGGTGTCAGGGGCAGGGTGTGGCCACGGGGGAGTGCGGGCGGCTCCAGGTGAAGACGAGGAAGCAGCCCGGTCCACGTGTGGACGTCACCGGAGCAGCAGCCGCAGGGCACTGGCCCGGCCTTTCCTGGGGGGGGGCCTCTGCAGGCCCCACCCCCCAAGCTGGCGGGGGCACCTGCAGGCCCAGGCATCCTGTGCCCCCACTCTGCAGGCCACCCCCAGACCGAGGGCGGCAGCCACCTCCTCCCAGCTTCCCTCTCGTGGGCCCCACACCCCGGCTGCTCAGGAATGGCCGCAGCGGGACACGGCGCACATAGACGGGGCCGGACCACAGCCCGCAGCCCACAGCCCCTGGCCGGGAACCAAGGCCCTGACCGTGGCTCCCACTTCCAACTCAGAATCACCCGGAGACAGCAAAGGCGGCCCCCGCAACCCAGCTCCCCCTGCCGACAGCACCGCCTTCCTGCTTCCGCGGGGCCCGGCGCTCCCCTCCGCAAGCCCCTCCACCAGGAGCCGCTGCCGCACTCAAGTGACGGCGTGGGCTTTGCCGAGGTCCCGTGTCTTCCTGGGCCGGAGCCTGAGGCAAGGCTGTGGGTGCACGTGGCTCATCTGCAGGATTCCAGGTGGCAGGAAGGGGCGGGGAGGTGACAGCCAGTGGGCTGCTCACCACCTTGGGCAACAGGCCCCACCGGGGGGTCTCCAGGGCACCACACAGAACCCGCGGCACCCGGGCTCGGTCCTTAGAGTGTGGGGGCTCCACCCCCGGTCCCCATGCGAGGGTCACCCCAGAGGCAGACGCCCAGCACAAGGGCCCGAGCACAGAAGGGGGCGGGGCACAGGTGCACTGTCACTCGCCGCAGCTCAACCACAGGTGGCCTGGGCTCGGGACGCACCTGCCACACCTCCTCGGAGGGCCCGACACCTGCAGACTCGAGCCCGGGATTCACATGGCTGCTACACGCGAGTGCTGATGGAGCCGCCCAAGCCCCTGTGAAGGCCGAGGCCCCGGGAGGCTGCAGGCCATCCCACGGCTGCCCAGGAGCCGCATCCCAGCAGCCCCCCACCTGGCCAGCGCAGGCAGGACCTGCACCCAGAGGCGGCTCAGAGAAGGGGCCCCAGTCATTCTGGGGACTGCAGGATGCCCAGGGCGGCGGGTGCCAGCTGGGGGGACCACGGTGCCAGCTGTGGGACCAGGACAAGGCGCCAGCTGTGGGGACCAGGGCAAAGGCCAGCTCGGAAAGCAGGCGAGGGGGGAGGTGAATGTGGGAAAGCAAACCAGTGCCATCCTGCACACCCGCGCCCAGGTGCACACACAGCAAACAGGCCTGGGCAGAGTCCGGGCTGCTGTCCCTGGGGGTGACGGCGCCATTTCCCAAGTCCGGTGGCCACGGCAGGGCCACCCCATCTATCACTTGACACAGCTGGAGGGAGGGGCAGAGGCGAGGCTCTCGGGGCCTGAACCCAAGACCCCCGGGGCAGAGCCAGGGCCGCCACCGTGGCTGGAGACCCGGGACAGTGCCTGCTCGTGGCTGTGCGTGGCCCGGGCAGCTGGGGATCTGCAGGGGGACGCGGGAGGCATCACCGCAGGGCACGGCCGTGGATGGGGCTCTTCCAGGCACTGTGCGCCCCTCGGGCTGGAGACAAGGAACCGCGCACTCGGCCCTGAGGGTCACACAGGCACGCCTCGCGCTCCCAGGCCACAGCTCCGACCAGGCCGACAGAAACATCGCAGGCCCAGGACACGGCCGCGGCTCCACCTGCCACAACCGTGACCCCCGCCCGCCCTCCGTCCCTCCCTCTGTCCACTGTCCAGCTAGCCACCCACCCACTCTCCTCTCACGTCCCCTGGCCCTGGCAAGACCATCGGCCTCGCAGCCAGCCGGCCAGCATCGTGAGCTCAACAGTGGCCGCTGTCACTCCAGGTGGACAGCCTGGCACCACCGGCCCCCAGATCGGTATGTAGGACCTGGATTTGCTTGGAGGACAGGAAGCCATCCTACCCCCACCCCCAGGGCCTGGCAGCAACCCTGGCCGCCAGCAGTGGTGCTGCCCCCTTGTGGCGAGAAGCAGAGCTGCACCGCGAGGGCCCAGGCCCTCTTGGGGGAGGATGGGGTGTGGGTTTGAGCTGTGGGCCCCTGGCCCCCGAGAGGCATCCCTTGCCCATGCCTGCAGCAACGAGGACCAGAGCAGCAGGAGCGGCCGGCGGCGAAGGCATCGCCCTGCCCGTGACCCCCCGGGCCCGTGGGCGTCCACACACAGCGGGCGCTCCGAGTCCCCCATGGCGGGGTGGGGGAGGGGAGGACCACCCACCATTTCCTGCACGCGGCCCCCCCTGCAGGGAGGGGTCGTTCTGGCCAGGCTGACCGGTCCAGCCGCACCTCCCTGGCAGGAAGCCGAGGTGTTCCCCGGGGCCTGTGGGAGGGCAGGGGGCTCCCCACGGCAAGGACGGAGCTCAGCCCAGCCCCAAAGACAGAAGCCCTGGGATCAAGCTGGTCTCCAAGGTCAAGGCGGCATGGGAGGGCCCCACCGCGGCTGAAAGCCTCCGTTCCTTATGGCAACTCATCCCGAACAAGGCCACCGAGCCCAGGCACCTCCCTGGGTGGGGGTCTTCTGGGCAGGGGGCTCCCTGTGCACAGCAGGCAGCCAGGAGCGCGTGGGACGAAGCATAACCCCTCCGGCCGGCGCTGGGCGGCTCCGAGGGACACCCAGATCTCCTCACTCACACCCGTGCCCCACAGCCCATGAGGGAGGCGTGGCCAGCCCTCCCAGGGCAGGTAGCCGAGGGCAGAGAAACCGAGGCCGGGGAAGAGAAAGGCGGCCAGCGATGCGCAGCCCTGCCCCCTACACTGGCTGCACCTGTGGGGCGCGGGGCCTGGGGGACGCACCTGAGCCTCCCGCCTGAGCCTCTGGGGCAGGGTCCGGGTCCTCCTACCCTGTCTGTGGTGATTCCGAGTAATTCCTGACGTCAGAGGTGGGAGCTGCCATTCCCAGGGCAAGGCCCTGCTGGCCAGGAACCCCCGGGGACTGCCCGGCCCGTGGAGTCTGTGCTGGTGCCTTCGCCCATGCAGCTGGACCTGCACTTGCGGGGCGGGGGGCACAGCCCCCGGTCACGGTCAGATTCCAGAAGGGCTGGCGTCACAGCTGGAAGAGCCCAGGAGCAGTGGGCCAGTGGAAGTGACCGCGTACCGCCCATCAGTCCGCCTGGACTTGGTGGCCGTGTGTCTGAGCCAGTGTCCATCCCCTGACCACGCCGGCCAGGACCCCCCCAGCCCGTTCATCTCCATGGACAGCCCCTCCTGTCTTCTCCAAGCCTTCCCTTCAGAGTCGTCTCCTGTGACACTGCCTCTGGGAAGTCCTCTGGGATTTCCCCAGGCGACAGGCTCTGTGGCTGCCCCTGCACACATGGTCTCCACAGGCACGGCAGCCCCGCTGCCTTCTAACAGCTGTCAAAGCCCAGGGAGGCCTTGGGTGGACGGGCGGTGGACAGACAGGAGGACGCTCAGACACGGGAACGGCCCACGTGAAAAAGAACACGCACCAAGCGCAGGAAGACGGGGAGGAGCCACGGACACACACGCGTGGCTGAGGGCGGTGAGGCAGCCTTCATGGGCACAGGCCGTGCGCTCCAGCTCCGGGACGCCCCGGGAATAGCACCCCCAGGGACGCGGGAGGGAGAGATGCCAGCGCCCACAGGAGGGACGGACAGGCGGCACACGGAGGGGCTCCGGGGCCGTGACGTGGGACCTGCCCTCGGCACCCACGGCACCAAGTGGGCATGGAGGGGCTCCGGGGCCGTGACGTGGGACCTGCCCTCGGCACCCACGGCACCCAGGGCGAGCCTCACGTCACCCGTGCCAGGGACCACAGCCATGCCCACTGGTAGCAGCGTCCACTGCGGGCAGGCGTATGTGGGGGTCCCGTGAGCCAAAGGCCCCAAGAATGAAGGCCGAAGCTCACCCAGGCACTGCCGTGGGGCCTGCCTGGTGCCACCACAGCCCCAAGACTCCCGAGTCCCCGAAGGTGAGGCCCGCAGGACAGACCACCCCCCGCCAGCGGGCTCGGGGTGCAGCGGCC